TTATTCCTATGTTTCTTGCTTATTTAAATAAATCTCGCTCACTTTAACACAAAAATGAGCTAGTATTTAAAAAAAAAAATCAGTTTTAGTACTAAAAAAAACTTTGAATCCTATCATTTGAAATATGTAAATGCTTTAAATACAAGTTAAGAAAGAATACTAATTGATCCAATTTTTTAAATAGATATGGGAAAAAAATTCACCTCTTGTTAAAACTATATTCTATGGGAGATATGAAAAACTTCAGTCATTTGTATCTGTTAAAAATATAATAGGCTGTAAATAAATTAATAGGAGATTATCACAATTGTGATATCAATAGCTATCAAAGAGAACAGTTATTGCAAAGACTAGTGATAAGCATTAATTTTATGTTAAAAATCACAGAGGACAGATATATTTGAGAAAAATCAAATGGTTTCAGTTAATTAAAAAAAATCTCTTATAAGTCAACTTACAAGAGTAGTTAAAAATAAGGCAATAGAAGGTTATAAATTACAAAGTAAGGGGAAAGAAAAAAAAAGAAATTAGAAAAGGGAACCAATTTAAAACCCCACTAAAAAAGTTAAAAAAGAAAGCAATCTTTTTCTTAAAAGGGATTTATCTAATTGAAATAGTCTTCTTGTTTTTCTTGAGCCTTAGAAGAAATTTTTTTTTGTCACTACTTATAATATTGAATATGTCAATCTAACTAGTCCTTCATTTAAATAAATATCAGATTGGAATATCTCAAAAAAATTATTTAAACCTCAAATTTTGTCTATTAAAACTTTGTTATCACCAGAGAAGCTTAGAAAAGAGGCAGAGATTTGTAATCCACATAATCCATTTTTTGATCTTTTAATATTATAAATGTTTTTCTTAAAAAACTTGAATTTCTGAAGAGTAAACATTTTCAGAACATTTTTTCTAATCATTAATAATATTATCAAGGCATATGATTGTAACCAATAGGAGCTTGTTTATATTCCAAAAACTAATGTGTTTCATGTTAGCCAATCACCTTTAATAAGATTTTGTGTTACTTAAAATTTAGGATCAAATTGAAATAGACAAAATTCCTTAGAAAACCATAAAAATAAAAGTTTTAAGAGGCCTAAACAGTTAAAAAAGGAGAAAATAAACCTTTTTACTGTAATAAAACCTTTATAACTTCTCATTTCAAAGATTAAAAAGGTTTTCAGATACTTCACAATTAGTTTTTCTTCTTTTGAAAACTTTCTTGCCATTGATATTAAAGATATTACTTGACTTTTTTTGATCACCAAAAGTTAAGTTTTTGAGTGAAAAGGTTTATAAACAAGAAAGAAAGTGTAAAAATGACTTTTGAAATTATACTTCAAGTTGTTTTAATAAAAATATTAAGGCTTTATTAGCAAAAAAGTAAAAAAAACTTCTTGTAAACATCTTTTTAGTATGTGATCAAAAAATCAGTAAAAAGAGTTTTTTATATAAGAATTGATATTTTTATACAATACTTTTATTTCATTTTTGATATTTTAATTACTTTTTTTGAGAATTTATTTAATGAAAAAAGAACTTTTTTATAGATTTTTATTTTATATTATTAATATTATTATTGAATATATGATGATAACTAATTTATATTCTAAAAACTAATATATTTTATATAAATTAATTTTTTTAATAAAAGTTATATAATTTAAAAATTTAAAATCAAGTTTAAATAAATAAATATTTTAAACAAATATAAAGATAAAAATTTTAAGAGGATAAAATATTAATAAGAAAAGAAAAAAATTTTTTACTATTATAAAAATTTATAAATATTTATTTCAAAAATAAAAAAATCTTTATATATTTTATAATTAGTTATTTTTTAAAAAATCTTTTTATTCCATAATTAACTTACGCCATGTAAAGATTGTTAATGTACTGATTATAAATACCTTTTATTCAAATAAAATCATACATTTAATGCTCATTTGCAAAAAAAAATCTTTTTATTAATAAAAAATATATTATTTAATTTTTTTAATTATTAAAAATTAAGATTACTATTAAATTTTTTTTGTAAATTAAAAGAAAAATATAATAATAATTTTTGAAAATACTTTTTAAATTGTTTTAAATAAAGTAATAAATTTTTATTAATTTAAAAAATTAAAACTTTTTGATAAATATCTTTTTTATATACAATATAGTCAAAAAATAAATTAATTTATATTTTACATATTTTTATTATAAATAAAAAAAATTTTTAAAAAAACTTTACTTATTCTATTTTTTTCTAAAATTTTTTTAAATGATTTTTTATATATAAAACAAATAACAATATTTTAATAAATATTAAAAGATAATGATATAACTTTTATAATTATAATATTTTTAAAAGAAAACAAAAAAATATAACCTAATTTACAATTATGTAAAAAAGTTAATATTAATTTTTAAATATTTGTTAGAGTGTCTAATTTATAAAGATCAATTGCAAGAGGTTTAAAACAAGAGAATGAATATAATTTCCAAAGAATTTAAAAAGTTTTTTCAGAAAAAAAAAGATAAAACAAAAGAAAAAATATATTGTTAATTATAAAAAATAAAAAACAAATAGAAGAGTTAAACAAAAAAATAATCAAGTTAGTAAAATAAATTTCAGATTTAATAAAAGAAGACTTATTAGAAAAAATAGTAAAACTGAAGTATCAAGAAAAATAATTTAAAAAAGTAGTTAAAAAATAAATAATAAAGATACAAAAAAAATGTCTATAATTATATTCAAAAGAAGATTTGAAATTTAAAATATGAGAAAATAATCAAATAAAAGTAAATATAGAAGATTAATAGAAAGACTAAATAAAAGAATTATTGAGTTTATCAGTTAAGAAAATTAAAGCTGTAAAGATTAAGATAATATAATAAAAAGAAAAAAGCTTAAAATTTAAAAATTTAAAAAGGTTCTAATAAAAAAAGTTAAATATAAAATAAAATAATTAGATTTTGACTATTATTAAAACTTATCAAGTGATTTTTAATATAACTTGTAGGTAATGAAATTAATAGTTAAAAGGATTTTTATCTGAACTATTATTGAAGAAATAAATTACATTTAAAGTTATACTTGGAGTTACATTAACTAAAATAAGTAAGATAGTTAAGGTTTTGCTTTGGTAATATATAATATATATATAGTTTACAAATTGATTAATAATATATTATATATATAACTAACTTAATAAAGAATTAAAAAAATTATTATTAATTTTATAAATATTATAATTAAACCAATATTAATTATTATAAGAGTAATAGAAGAATTTATTAGTAAAGTTTACTTAACTATAAGTAATTGCTAGAAGATATTATACTAAAACAATATGAATCATTTTTATTAAATTACATAAGAACCTAGAATCTATCATAAATCACTTCTTTACTGCAGATAGATACAAAATTACTGTTCAAAAAAAACTGGAACTAGGTATATTTTTGAAAATAAAGGTTCTCACTAGATAATAAATCTTCTCAAATGATATGCTGTATAAGAAGAAAATTCAGATCATAAGTTTCTCAGATAGTTAGAAGAATAAAAATATCTTAATAGGGCATTTCTTATTGAGAAGAGGTCTTAAGAAGTGGATCTTTAGAAAAAGCTAAAATTTTTTTTGTTATTTTTAATTTTTCGTTTTTTAATACACACTTAAAAACAAAAATTCATTTATATTTTCATGAAATTAAATTAAGTCAGAATAATTTATGTATTGAAACATTTAATACAGTATATCAATTAAACCAAGTTTTGCAATATATATTTTTTATTCTAATTTTAATAGAATTGAAGTATTTGTACAATTTATGAAAATTAAATAAAATAATTGTAGCAAGAAACCTTTATATTAATATTTGTAAAGGATCACGTAAACAATATTATTATTGAAAGAGATACTCAACTTTTAAAATCATTTGCGGTATTGAAGTTACAGAAAATTTTTATTTAATAAAAGGAAACAAGAATTCCCTTATCTGTCCTCGGGTCATGGGGGCGAGTGTTTCGCTATTCCAGCAATTATGTATATTGAAATTAATCACAATCACAGGAAAGATTTAGAACTATTTAGGTACAAATTCGCCGTGCTGGTGTTATTTGGATTGTTTCTCCATAATCCTTCGGGATTATGCAGTTTGATAATATTTGAGACCATGATGAATACTATTAGCACACTCCTGATGGTTGAGGATTATTTTATGTATTATATATCCATTACTAGTATCGAAGACAATAAGGAAATAAGGCGTTTTCTGATTTGTTATTTGCATCAACTTGTTTTCGCTCCTGCCAAAGTTGTAATTTTCATCATACTATACAATATATGTCGGACGTTTTTTCTTTGACAATGACTTTGGTGAGAGGGATCGTTATGTTAACGTCTTTTCACTTGTTGATGGAAGACGTAATACCAAGTTTGCGGCGGTTCTCGGTAAATTATGAACAGGCAAAGGAATACGAAAACTGCATTATTCGATGATCCGTAAAGGTTATGTAACCTGGAGCCGAGTCATGTCCAAGAAGAATCGAATTTCCATTATAAAATGCAAGTGCATTTTATGATAAAAAGAGCATGAGGTAGGCATTTGGTTGATAGCGAGAATGTGCTAATCATCTTCGCGAGACATAATTGAAAGGTCAAATGACGATCATCTACATGTTTAGGAGGAGAAACTAAATAAATAAAAAAAATGATGATAATAATAAATTGTGATTCCTTCTAGAAAGACTATGCACTGTATGTGTACAATATGGATTATTATCCCCGAATTGTCATCACTAAGATTCAAGAGTATTTGATATAGGCGAAAAAAGCTAAATTCGATCACTTCTCCAGTAATCGCCATCAATGATACTTGAAATCACTGAAAATAAAGTTAAATGAATAATTTCCCTCACTAAAACACGATTTTGTTTATTTCAATATTTTTTAGCTAGTCTTGTATTACAAATCAATGACTCTATTCCTTCATTCACTAAATTCATCATTTCTTTAAGCCCCAAATCCCTTAATGAGCTTATGACAAGCATCCTTTATGACCTCCTGATTTTTCTTTCCTTCCTCCTTCCATAAACGACTCAACTCTTCGATATGCTGACCAATGACTTCGGTATTCTTTTCTAACTCGTTGAAATAGTTACTAAGTTCGGTACATCGAGCGATAGCCTGGTCGGATGAATTCTGCACGTCAGAACGAAGCTTTTCTATTTCTTCAAGTTTCTCTCTGGTAAAATCACGAATAATTTTTTGGTATAACGTTAATAAGATTCGAAAGGGAGTAGGAAAGATGAAATGTTTGTTTGACATTTCCAAAATTCGTCAAGTGACCCACCTCAAGGAGCTAAAGGTATCTTCAAATTCCCTAGGGATAGGTCGATTAAATCGATTTTCCCAGCAAAAGTTTCTTTTCTGGTAAAAGAGCGTATTCGCATGAATTGGTTTCAAGAGGGGAGGTTTCAACATAGATGAGAACATCGTCATTTTCATAGTATGCGAAAAGAAGAGGGCCTTTGGCGCAAGAGGTATTTTCTCGAACGTCGCCAATATATTTATACTCCCAATGACTTAACCATATATGGGTAAGCAGCGTGATAAATTATATGTGCCCGATATCTGAAGGCAGTCTGTATATGTGGTGTACATTCATTCTTATAATAAATATCACTCTCTTTAATTATTGATTGATTATCTAGACATCTAGATATCGCATAGCATATCAAATTTTCATAATTGATAGTGATTTCAGGTTTCAGTTTCAGTTTCAGTTTCAGTTTCAGTTTTGCAGGCATACAGGAAAAAACGGTAAGTTTATTCAAGTTATGTCATGATGATTCCTCCTGGTTCTTTGTGCAATTTAAAATTTTAGATTCTGGGTAGGTAAATCGTTTGTGTAACCATGTTGGTTACAATATAAGTTTTTTTTTTTAAGGAAAGCTTTCCTATTTACTAGAAAATCCATTAGCAGGAAAATTGATATATAAAAAGTCACAAATTATAAACTATAAATAGATTTCTATTAGTTATTCTAATTTTTCAGGAAACAATTGTGACAAAACACACCGCATCTCATCTCAAAAGATTATACGACAACTAGATTTCGTGAAAGGTTTGTAGATGATGGTGCAAAATCTGTATTCTCCGAATTCTTCAGTAACTCTCTGAGAGCCATCGTGGCATATTGACTTGCTGACAATGAAATATGAATGCGTAATGCTAGATGGATACCATCTAAAAAAAAAAAAATAAGACACTTTAATAATAATAGCAGTAACAGTAATAAGGAATTGAAAATTTGCCTTCTGTGCTTTCCGGCTCAGGTTTTTCCTGCAGAATGTCCAAATCACTGAGGGACAGTGGGATGGACAAATCATTATATCTGAATGTCCTCCTATTTAAATAGAAATTTTAAAAACTATGATTAATCAATTATGCAATATTTCATAAGTTTCCTACATTCACTAGGAAGCAACTAACCAAAATACATCCTTTGGTCTCCCTAAAATTTTACGATAACTCCCTGTTAATGAAAAATCTCTATGATAATATTAAATGAATGAATGAATAATTTTTTGAATGCACAAAGACATTAATCGAAGAAATACGGTAATTTCCGCACTACCTACTTTACATTTCTTTTCATTTCACGTGGATCCAAGCGATCTTTCCACATGAGTTCTTTGTATTTTTCAAATATAATGTTATCAGGATAAATCACCGAATGACCTGGTAAAGGTAAAACCACATCATAAATCGTGTAATCGGGCAAATCTTTTTCAGTAAGGGCCTTCACTTTGACGTCCTATATCAAGTAGAAATCAAATAAAGAAACTAATCAACAACAATAAAAAAAACATAACCCGGTGTGCGGACGACAATCTCAATATCGATACCTTTCTTTTTCCCGAATTGGTGGTAGCATTCTCATTGGAAATCAGGTCACCAACTAAATCCTCGGTATCCATAAAATCATCTCCATCAAGCATAACCAAATCTCCAACGACTGGTTTATCACAACCGAAAATTCTTATCCTTTCGGAAACCATTTTGTTCCAAACATAGGATTGATATGCATGCACATACATGAGTCGAAGATTTCTAGGCATCTATTCAGAATCAATTATTAATTGGAATTGTGCCATGATTAAAAGGAAAAAAATTATAAATACCGAATTAAAAGCTCCCGCACAATCTTTATTATTTCCAGCCTTCACAAATGAAGATAAAATGTGATATTCTGCAATACACTTCTTTGAAAACAGCTCCAAGGCCTTCTTTGCATCTCGATTCTCCGCCCAGTTTTGCCTGGCTTTCTGATAATCCGACCGATCTAAAATAATTCCCCGCATGAAATAAGATGGAACACAAGAAATAAAATTATGTCCTAACGAATACCTCCAGGTCTGGGTTTTAATATTAAGTCGACGGCTTCTTCCCAATTATTTTGCAACAGCGCGCGACCAATTTCATGAGTCAAAATTGACGTTGTACCGAAACGTTGCATACCTGTTGCAATATAAAAGAACATCAATTCGTATAAACTGACAATACAAAATTTCTCCATGCATATATGATCATACCATAGTAGTTGATGAACCCATGGTCTCTTAAAACACTCATTGCTCGAGTAATAACATCCTCGGAATCAACTTTGACATTTCTGCATTTAAAATGGAGTAAGTTAATATTTTATAAAAATTCAATGGAAAATGCTAGAGGGGACTTGACCAACCTTAGTGTAATTACGAAATGATTTCCATTCAAGTCACCGAGTTTTAATTCTTCCTTAACATATCTAGAAAAATCACAAACAACAAAAAAATGAATCGACCGAATTCCTTTTATTGACTCATTCATATCAAACAGAGAAGGACTTACTCAAAGTTACCTAATTTCATACCCCGAAGACGAGAATTCAATCCGGCCAATTTTTCGGCCTTCACCCTGTTTGCAGTAACCTTTTGGACGCTAATTGCTCGATGATCCTTAGTTCCCGAATAATTAAATACCCGCGCGTGAAGCCTAAGGCAATGAAAAATTCGCGATCTCGCTTAATATAATTTATCATACAGCACACATAAATATAAATAGGTCGCACTTTAAAGTTTTGCACAGATAATCAATGGCTTCCATGGTGCTGCGGTTTTCCTTATACAAAACAAATTGACAATAAGGACCACCCAACGCCTCCCAATCATCATCTCGTTTTCTATTTCGACGATCTACATTATTAATTATTAACATAACCCTTAAATCATAATAAACTTATTGTCAAGAAACTGAATAAACTCACCATTTCGGGTCTTAAAAGTGTGCATGCTTACGCGGATCACCTTTTCTTTGGTTTCGGTATTTAATTTGTCACCAAAGTGCTTTTTGAAAAATTCGTGAATACTCTTCCGCTTTTCTTTATCACTCTCTGGCTATTTATTAGACATTTAAGAAAATAAGTCCACCGGGTCATCGGTCTAATTAACCGACGACGGAATCTAATAGTACCTTTATTTCAACAAAAAGTGGATCCTTGCCGTTGGAATTTAATAAACTTTGTATTTGTTGTGTTGTCTCTTCGCCAAGTAGAGATCCCATCTCGGCAAATATTGACTCCATCGAGATTTCCTGTTCGAATTCCAACAAGATACATGGTGTTATAAATAAATGCATTAAAAACCGTGTTCTTATTATTTACCGGTTCGGCTACTCCGTTTCCTCCGAGGGCTCTTTTGTCTTGATCCTCTGGATCATTAGCTTCCTTTGTAACCTTGGGAACGTCAAAATTTGTAAGATGTACGACACTGCCTAACTTATCGATTTCATAAACCAAGAAATCGGAAAATCTTATTAAATATTAAGAAGTTCCAAGGTCAATTTACTTGTGCCAAACCAATGACTTGTCTAAACGTTTCCTCCCACCTTTGTTTAACGATTGCCGAAAATCCCGATATGGATGCATTTGCATACTCGGTTAGACCAACTTCCCGTTCGTTCACCGCTCTATTCCTTTTACCTTCGCCAGTAACATCAGCCGCATTACGACCGATTAATTCGGAATTTCCTTTATCTTGATCTATTTCCAATTTAGCGGGTGATAATGAGGACGATTCGGCGTAACTTAGTCGAATTCTCTTAATTGGCTGAGCCTCGGGTGAAGACATTCTTTTAAAACTGTTTTTGATCAGTAGATTAATATCGACGAATTTGCAAAACGAATGGATTTTCATCATCCGCAGTGCAAGATTTATAACGTGTAACATCTATTTTAACGTGCAGTATATCGGCATAGGAAAAATTTTTTTATTTTAAAAATTTCCACGATTCGGAAATTACCACAGTATATAATGGATAGCTTAAAATTGAATTCTAATAACTTTTGAATTCATAAAATATATATACTGTATATACTGTATATCATAAAAAATAAAAAATATTTAAATAATATAATTTATAATTTAAAAATTCAATCATTGAAGTTCTCTTTAAAAAAATTTTTTTTATAAATGTATTAAAAAAAACTTACTCATTCTACATATTAAAATTTATTGTTTAATTGAAATGAACCTTATGAAATAAAACTTTTATCTTTACTTTTATCTGCAAGTGTTAGTGTTAAATGAAATTTAGATATATCTTGAAATTTAAGGATAAATAAATTTTATGAACTTTAAAAATAAAAAAAAAAGGTTTTTAAAAATCAAACTTATATAGATTCACATATAATTTAAAGTAAGGTATCATCAAAATTTAAAGTAAATTATAACTCATATAAAAATTAATATATGCAAGATATATGCATATATATATATATTTGAAAATTAAGATTTAATTATATACTGTATTTTATAAAATATTAATTTATTTAAATTAACTAGCAAATTCAAACAAATAAAATTTTTTATTAAACAAAATTTTTATTGATTTAGATATAATTTTTTGCTTAAATAAATTAAATAAAAATTCTAACTATATATAAAAAATAATTTTTGAATTAATGAAATTTTAATAATTTTTTTAAAATTATTTAAAATATATTTTTATAAATTTTCATATTATTTAAAATATATTTTTATAAATTTTCATATTATTTAAAATATATTTTTATAATTTTTTATAATTACTTAAAAATATTTATTATAATATTTTCTTATACTTTTTTATAAATCTTTTTAATCAAAATTTTGACTTTTAATAATTCAAATAGGTCAAGTAATACTTTTGATTTTTCATAAATAAAAAAAATTTTTTTAAAAAAATAAATTAATTTTTTATAAAATTTTTTTATTTATTAAAAAATATTATATTATTTTTTTAATTATAAAAATCTTTAAATCAAAAGATTTAAGTATTTTTTAATTAAAAACAATTTTATTCTTATATTAATAATAATATTTTTTGTAAACTTTTAAAAAATTTATATATTATTATAATAATTTTAAAATATAATTAAAAATTTTTTATTTATTAATTATATTTATAAATTCTAATAAATTGTTATTACTATAAAAAATTAGTTATTTGTTTTTTCTTTCAGAAATATTTTTAACTTTAAATTTAAAAATTTTTCTTTTATTAAATTTAAAAAAATTTATCTATACAATACATGGTTGTTCACTTGCTTCTATATTAATATACTCTTCTCTATAACCAGTACTCTTTAAAATAACTTGATTTTCTATATCATTTTTTTCTTTATTTTTTATTATTGATGTTTCAAGTACTTGTAAAACATGTTAATCAGTTGATAATTGATTATGTCAGTAATTCATATGATATACTTCTTCTTTACTTTCTCTCCATTTTTTATAGCTGATATTATTTTTTTGATCAAATTTTAGAACAACCCACAAATTATACCTTCCATTAATAATACTATAGTATTATGCAATTTATTCTCTAGCCAGCAATAAAGAGTAATTCCTAGTAAAAATTATGACAATTTTAATTTATTAATAACTTAAATTTCTAAAAA